ATGTAGTACGGGTCAGGGAAGAACTCCACTCCACTTTAATGTGGATTTGGATCAGGGAGCGGATCCAGGATGTTTTTTTTCTCACTTTCTATATATTAGAGTTTTTTTATGGTTTATTTTCAACTATAGTTATTTGGTTAAACTGTAAAATATCAACTTTCAATAACATTTCTTCGTCATGAGGGTTTGATAACGACGTCTCAGGAATTATTGCCAATTAAATAGTTTTTATCTTTATAGGTCAGGCTCTGCTGTAACAACACGTCCACGGTGATGACGTCACATACGACCAGAGGAAAAGCACAGAGCGAGTGAAGTGGTGCAGACGTTAGTTTGAAGGTAGTTCAACAGATTTTAAAAACTAACCGTGGTTGATTGTCGAAGCTGCATCACGACGGCTACAGATACAAAAATAATATTTTCTTAAACTTCAAGTTCGTCTTGACGTATGTGCAGTGCAAAGTTGGGTTAAGAGCAACAGTGGTTATGATTCGCCACAGAAAACAAAAGTCCGACATCTCGGAACGATGAAGCCGGGACCGAACGGTATCCGAGAGTTAGCTCCCTCTAGTGGTCAACTGAAGGTTTGCTGTTACAAAAATGTCTTGACTTCAAATGAACTGTCTCTGAAGCAGACACAGTTAATTTGTGTTTTTATAAAGTTAGTTTCCGACTGAAACAAAAAAAAAAAAAACAAGCTAATCATTTCAATTCTGAAAGTTTTCCGTTCGTTAGCTAAAACAGCCAAGCTAGCTTTGTTCTCCGATCTTTCTGCAGGCTCCGTAAAACATTCTATTTTCTATGCTTCATGAGTTTAGCATATTTTTAAACACTCAATGACTGTATATATAAAAAAAGACGATCTTCGCTGTAAAAAAATTTAACCGAAAATGTTGCAGTTACTTGCGCTGACATCTTGTGCTGGTGACATCACAGCTAGCATCTAGCATCACAGTAGTGATCAGTACAGGATCTAAACACAATAACACAAACAAGCAAACTGACCGAGGCAGCAGTACTTCTACAACTCCGGTATTCTGCGATGGAGCTGGATAAAGCGATAAAGCGGCGGTTTATTGATTAAACAAAAAAAGTAATAATCCTGACAATAACGTTGTCAGACAAAAAAAACCACCTGAGCCCGTCAGTGGTTCAAAAAAAAGCACTTTAGTGAACGTACATCGACACGTTGATGCAGAACTGTGAACACTTCACATGTTCTCAGCTCTGTGCAGACGTCTTGACCGTTTTCCTGCTGAAACTTTAAACTGGATTCATCTAAAACACAACTTATTTTCATATGATTGAGTTTGTGTTATTGTTCGTCATTAGAGCTGTGACCCTCCAACAACCAGGAAAAGGCACATTAACGCATCGAGTGTTTGGGTTCAAATATTTTGTCCTCGCTTCAAATTGTACCGGTGGCCAAACATTTTAATCCGAACGCAAAATCTCCGGGAGGTTTCTTTTCGTAAATTCGATAACACTTGATTTTCTTCTGTCGACCTAAACCTCTGCAAACGAACAAGCTTCAAAATGGTTTCTGATGTGAACTGTAACAACAACAACAAACTATGGCTCGTTCTAAATCTCTTGTCAATGCACAGATTTAGAAAACAGCTTTAAGGCCAGTTTATACTTGTGCATAGACTCAACACCGTACGTGCGGTGTAGCGGTAGCTCGACTTGCATCGTAACTACACGACGCAGATCGCAAACGAAGGAGTGGTCCGCTTATTAGCATTAGCGTTTCTTCTTCACATTTCTGGCTGAAGGCACTGAAAGTCCCCCTCCCTTTGTCCTCGCTGGGCTCGTTGGTCGTACATCCTCTCACAGTTATTGGCTCCAACTCTAAAGTGACCGCCTCAGTTTCTTTGACGTAAAGAAACTCGACACAAGTGGAAAAGAACGACACAGAGAAGCCAAGCGCTCACGAGGGAGATTTCTCTGCAGAGGCATTCACCAAACTTTAACTGGCACAAGATCTGTTACTCACAGTTAAGAGATCTCTGATGTTCTGCAAAATAAAATGTAATAATCAAAGTGTGACAGAGGCTTTTACTTCCTGCTCATATCTGATGTAATCGCGTGGCTCGATCTCTGCTAATAACATCCCAGCATCTGCTCCAGCCATCTCCTGTCAAGATGACTTTAGCAAATGATACTAACGTCCCGCTGCTGCACAAGAAGTGGATCATTATCTGTTAACTTTGTTCTTCTTCTCATTCCACTCTGGTTTTTCACTGTGCAAAAAGTTTGGTCTCTCTTCTAAAGCTGAAACGAAGGATTTGAGAAGCTCACGCGACTCCACATCAGTCCTGTGGATTTCTCTGTGCAAAGAAGTGAAACTTCATCTCGTGCCAGTTCCTCTATTCGTCTACTGGGGTTCACCTCCGTCTCCAGAGGTGCTGGGAGTCCAGGTGTTGGAGGAGCCGTTTCCAGAGCTGCCGGGTCGAGCGGGAACCTCCCCCTGGTCCGTGAACTCCGGCTGGGGGGAGGCGTGGTGAGGCAGGCGGGAGCTGTGCATGATGTGGGCGTCCAACATCTCCAGCAACAAGTCGTACAGAGGCACCATGTTCTTCATTTTCATGCAGTGGAGGTGGTCCATGCCTTTGTTACTGCGGAGGAGAAGAAGAAAGACAATGACGCTTCAGTCGTGATGTTGTGAGCAGAAGAAGAATCAACAAATTCAACAAACACAACAAGACAAATGATGCTAAAATATCTTGATCACCCCCTGGTGGCAGGCAGCAGTATAAGTCACAAAGCCTCCAAATTTGAAAGTTTAAAAAAATACTGCGTTAAATAGATTTCTTATATATTTTGCAAGTTTCTTTTTCTTTTAAAGTTTGGCTCGACTTCTACCTGACATGGCGGATGTGAGAGAGCAGCATGAGCAGGTGTGCGAGGCGGGTGTACTGCTGGCGGAAGGTGAGGCCAGTTTTAGCGATGGCCCACACCAGAGCGTCCGTGACAGCGTCCAGAAGAAGAAGCAACTTGGAGCGACTGTGCAGCTCCTCGCTGCCCTCGGACGAGCTGAGGCACATGTCTGCAGACACACACACAGAAAACTCTTTGGTGTGAGGATCAATTCAACGTTCTTCATATTTGAAACACCTTTAATTAATTATACTACGACATTTTGAAGAAGATTTAACATATATACGAATATAGATTCATTTCTTTTCATGCTGCGGATCCATTAATGTTCAAACAAACGAAAGCTGTGATGGAGCAGCTGCTGCTGAAACATGACGAGTGCTCAACTGTGCCGGTGGTGACGCTTAAAAAAGAAAAAACCTCAGTCAGACATCAGTGAGTCTCTGGTGTAAATGCTCGACAGAGAAACTCTGACCAATGAGAGCAGAGACTCCGAACTACACAGTGTTCCCACTAGAGGTTTTCACTTGATTCACATTAATAGGATTTAATGTGAGTCACAGATGACACACACACACACACGCTCACTTACTGGAGTTTAGGAGAATCATGGCCTTGAGGCAGACGTACTCCTCCCTCTGCAGCTTGAGCTCTCTCACCCTGGACGTGGCAGCGATGAGCATATCAAAGATCTCGGAGAAGCCCTGGACGCAGCTCCCCTCTTCTCTGCCGTACAAGGGGACACACACACACACACACACACACACACACAGTTACTCATCAACTCTCTGATTCTTACCTCCGCACACCGGCCAGAGATTGTAAGAAACAAAATGCTGCGTGGATCCAAAAGATGGAAATGAAGCAGCACTTGTTCCACATTATTAGAAAGGAGGTAAAGTCACTGACTAAATTCTGTAACCAGAGATTCAACAACTTCAACAAAACCTTTTAAGACCATAATGAATGAAATTTAAGAGCTATGTCAAGAATGAGTCCCAGAATCACGTACGCTTCCCGAAAATTGAAGATACGGTGAAGTAGCCAAGTAGAGAATAACTCGTAATGTTGAGGAAGACAGAGGATATTTCAGCTTTATTAGTGTTTAGTGCTTTTACATATGTAATTCTGTTCTTTTTAAGAAAACAAATAAAGTTCACTGCTGAGATCTGACAAAAGAAAAGTAACCAGACAGGAAAAGAAGATGAGAGATGATCACGTCTACTTTTGTTTTGAATAATCCAGGTAACTTCCTGTTGCCTGAGGCTGCAACAGTTAATGATTATCGTGGTCGATGGAGACGCTGGAAGTCAGTCAGACAAGAAACTTATTACATATTAAAATATCACTCGAGCAAATAAATTAAATAAAACTTTCAAAGTAAGCAGTGGTGGGTTTTTTTTGCCTTGCAGTTTCAAATCTGTCCAGTAGAGGGTGCTGCAGTCCCCTTGTCGTGGCCAAAAGAATTCAGGAAAGCAACATCATTACGATATCGAGAGAAGCAAAGTTATAATTTAAAATTCTCACCAGTTGTGAAACAGATATTTACTGAATCACGACAGAAAATAACGGAAATGATTGAAAAGGCACTGGATTAATATAAATAATATCATAATAAGTCTTTATATAAATAAAATCGGTGGTACCTGCTCAGGCTGAGGTCCGGGGAGAAGATGAGTTTCCCTGGATGGTCCACTGACCTCCACATCAGTCCCATCATCAGCACCTCCAGCCAGCAGCACTCCAGCAGGTGCACCTGGTCCAACAGGCCCAGCTCCACAAACCCTGAGCGAGGGACGAGACATCGGTTAGTGCAACACTGAGCGGAGGGGGGGCAGGATTTCTCTTATCGCAGTTAGAGGAAGAGGAAAAACAGAGAGCAAACACAAAGAGGAAAGAAAGAAGGATCATTAAAGTCCTTCATTACACAACTTAGAGACTTGTTTGCATTTGTGCACATTGTCTCTGAGTTCAGTTTCCATTCAGCCTCTTCTTTCCAACAACACTATGACTCTTGCTGCCACATCTCATACTGTGCAGACTCACTAATCACAGTTATGTCACAGCTCATCGTCCTGAGTGACGCTCACCTATGAAACAAAGCGGAGACAATTTACTGCGTCTGGTCAGGATCAAGTCGTTAACTCTGCTGCTCAGCAGACGGAGCCGCTCGGCGGAAGAGATGAGCGGCATTAAAAAGACTCATTACAGTGTTCCATAAAAACAGGAAGGCTCATCAGCTCGTGGTTATTTGTCTCCACGGCGGTTTATCTCCATCGCAGAGGAAAATATGTGTGGTGAAGATGCAGAAGGGATTTAAAAATAAAGAAAACAAAATTAAAATTGACTTCAAATAATCTTTTTTTACGCCACGCGTTTTAAAAAGGACGCCTGACGACTCTGACTCATACCTGGAATCTTCTTGGCCCAGGTGATCATGTGAACCAGCTCCTTATCGGCCAGGTGGGTGAGCGACATCATGACGTTGGCCTCCGTCAGCGGCCCGCTCATGTCCTTCATGAGGTAGATGACAGGCGGCTCCGCCTCCATTATCCGCTCGATCAGCTGCTCTGGGGTCAGTGCTGGAGGCTGCAGCTCGTTCATCAGCGCCACCACCGGTCCAGTTAAAGCCTTCGGTCCGCTGGCTCGGCCCTGCGACGACAGACGCGTCAGTCGCCTCGTCTTGGGGTTCCTGTAGCTTCCGTGATCCTTTCGCATCCCTGAGACAAAGACGTCAAATACTTTTAGTCCATTATCATGTTTCAAATAAATGAACCAGACGTGATCATCAGTCAGGCTTTGAGAGAGAATCTTGTGGTTCCCACTTTAAAAGCTTGAGTCCTGATTTTATGAGGGAATGAGTCACAAACTCATGGACGTACAAAGAGATTGTGCTGCGTGGATATAAAAAGAGACTGAACAATCAACAGTTATCAAACATGAAGACCTTGTAATTCAACTATGCAACTGAACAAAACTCTTTTTCTTCATCTCTATTGAAAAACTTTCTGAAGAGTCTCTGTTCTGCAGTTTTCTCAAAACACTTCTCAGGGTGAAAAAAGATTTTTAACTTCATTTTAATGGGAGAATGAAATTTTAATATATCAATTAGAATGATCAACTAATTATACAGAGTGAAGGCGGCGTCACATCTCGACAACACAAGACTTTAAACTGCACGATAACTATATTTATTTGAAGCAAAAATTATATGTAGCTGTCACCAGACCACACTGACCAGCTAAACATCCAAACATGTCAATAAAGAAGAGAAGAGAAAGAAAATGCTATTTTTTCTAATTTAAATAAAAGAGAATGAAAAGACACCGACCACACTTGGTCATGCCGACTTCGTAGCACTTTCGGAGGCGACAGGCCTGACAGCTCTTACGGCGATTCTTGTCTATAGTGCACTGATTGGTTGCTGGGCAGATGTAGTCGTTGTGTCCTGAGACAAAGAAGAAGAAAAAAGAGGAGAAGAGCTAGAACCATTAATAACTTTAATGTTAATAACTTTATTTCAAAAAACAACATGAGTCAAATACTAATAATAAAGATACAGATAATAAAAGTCAGACATCATAGGTGTGTTTAGATAAGGAGATTGAACCGTGTTCCCCCTCAGTGATCTTGTCGTGTGAGCTCAAAGTGACTTTTGACCTTTGACAACAAAAATCGAAGCAGGTGACTCGTGAGTTTAACTCGATGTTTGCACCAGACGCCCCGGGGCATCCCTGAGCAACAGCATTCATGTGAAAACATCAAGTCTCTGAAACTGAAGAAGGTTTAAAAGAGCACTGGTGACAAACCAATCTTTATTTCTCCCCCTCACTGAACCTGCAGCAGAGACATGACGTGTTAATCAGCGAGACTGTGGGACTCAGTCAGGAAACAACAAAATCAACACACTGCATTTGTTATTCATGTGGTTTGATTCGGTGCAGCAGCCGGAGCTCCTCAGAACAAATGACTTAGCATCACTAAGTCATTTGTGTTCAATTAAAGTCCCTGTCGGTTAAGTACTACTTTTGTAGAAGCATGAATTATTTTATTCTGCTCATATTCAGGTTCATGATTTTAATTTGTGTTATTACTTAAAAATGTTGACTGATGTTCAGAAAACGCATGGGCTTCTGGGAGCTTCAGCGTTTCCTGTGGGGGAGGAGGGGAACTCCCTTTACTTTATGTTAAAAAAAAAAAAAACAACCTGTACAAGAGCAGAGAAAAGCTGGGGAAGCTTCACATGTCTCCTTTCACACGAGGATACAGTCGTGCTTCAAGACGCAAAACTTTCCACTTCGGACCAAACTTCATGGAAAAACCATCGAACGACAAACGTCGTAGTGACACGAGAGGAAAACTCATGGATTCTCAAAGTCGGTGAAATAAATAATCTGGAAGTAAAATAAAGTCTAAAACTGAACAAAGCTCAATTCAACAGTTGAGACGTTAAAGACATAAATGAGTTGAATCATTTTGGACAAACAGAAACAGAAACATGTTTTTTGGGTCTGACCTTGGATGCTCCTCTTGAAGAAGGCCTTACACCCCTCACACGACCACACTCCGTAGTGGTAGCCCGAGGCGTAGTCGTGACACACGGCGCAGTAGTGGAGGTCGGACTTGCCGCCCGACGACACCACGCCGTCCTCGCTCTCCTGGGAACGCCTCCTCACGCCCTTACTAACAGACACAGAGACTCGTCACCATCAATCTGAAAATCATAACTTCTTTGTTCATCTGTTTAATGTTGTTCCTGCAGTGAACAGCTCGTCACACCGAGTCATTGTAAAAACAGTGAATCACAGAGTGACGCATCTTCTCACCTGTTTGCTAAGACGCCGTCCCGTGGCGTCAGCTCCCCCCACGGACTCTGGATGGGCTGGCCTTGCTGGGATCGACCCTGTGAGCGGTGCAGGGTCATGGGCGGCCCCATGTGGCCGTGGCTGGGCCAGAACAAAGACGGGCTGAGGGACTGATGGACAGAGGGACAGTCTGGGATGCTGGGAGCAGCGTAGCTGAAGATGGTCGGACCGTAGAAGGGGATGGTGGCGAAGTCGTGGCCGAGTTCCGTGTAAGGGGACGGGATGCAGATGGGCTGGCTGCCGTCGAGGGTCAGACCGGGAGAGGACGTGCTGAGGATCGGAGACAGGACGCAACTTCTCACTCGGCTGGAGTCGACTTCCTGCAGCTGCAGGAGCGGCTGGTCCTTCTCTGCAGAGGCGGCGGCCATCACGACTACAGACAGTCTCAGTATCGGTAGGTTTACTCCATCACCAACAAACTTGACAGAGCAGGGACACGGTCATTCTCTTTCTTTTTCTTCTGTCGTTCACTGCGGTGACGTCATTATGAGAGAACTGGATCGTAGCTCTGAAACAAGCAGGAACAGAATCACAACTGACTCCAGCAGATTTAGGAACACAGGCCGCTGCAGTTTAACATTTCTCATGAGCTCACATGGAGAAAATCCTGATTCATGTCTGGAACCAAGCGCGCGTCGGAGTCTGCTCAGTGAGACGTGTGAGCGCTGGGACACATCACATCATCAACACAACGCTGAGAACGACGCTGAAGCCGGAGTTGAGCTTGTGAAACAATCCAGGAGAGAGAGGGAGAAGATGTTCAGCGCTCGTTCCTCGTCCGGTCTCACATCAGATAGTGTCAGGACTTTAAGGCTGGAAGACAAACGGAAAAACAATCATTTAAGTTGAATTTAAGATGAATATTTATTGTTTTAAAATAAAAATGTCACTGTCAAAGTCTAAATAAAACCTGCTTTGGATTTTGGTGATTTTAATTTTATATCTCTGATGTATTTTCAGAGTTCTGGGGTCAATACAAGGATTTTATTTAGTAAAGTTTAGACAATTTTTTGAAAAATATTGTGTTTGCAGTAACTTCATAGCAAAAATTGGTGCAGTTTGGTGCAGATTGATTGTTGGGGCCTTGCGGACGGATGCGCTCCTCATCTTTCATGCAACACTCATTATATGACATTTAGTAAAATACTTGGGACACCCAGGTCTAATACTGCGCGAGCTGCAGCAGCTGAAAATGAAAACAGTCCTCCAGATGGATCGGGAAGAATTTCACCTCTTCACGAGCCGGGCTGTGTCTGAAAACTGACACGGGAGGAAATAAAGATTTATACTGTAGTTCACACAGAGACAGCTGGAAGCTCAATAAACACACGCAGAGGGAGGCATCTGAAGTCTCAGCACATGTCAGTGTTAGTTTTCCTCGACAGGATCTGAAACAGCAGAGTTAATGATCTGTCCTCGCTCACAGTCAGTACACGTCGTCTCTGACTCTCTGAGGCTCACTCCTGAAAGTTGGTCCTGATTCACAGGGTTCGTTAATTCTGCCGAAGAGCTGAGGAAAGCTTTGGCTTGGCCCGATGACAAAACACGATAATCCGCAGGAGTCGCTGAAGGTTTATTCCTCTAGCGTAAAATGAATAATGTAGAAAAACTGACAGTAATTAAATTCACGATGTTACGACCATACAGCCGCTCAGCGTAATTTATGTCGGAGACTGCAAAGTGCTAGAGTCAATTTCCTTTTTTTATGGTTTCAAATTAAAACGCGACTGGAGAGAAAAAATAAAATCTCACTTCCAGCTGTGAAAACACGGTGGGAAGCTTAACAGCAATTATATGAAGAGGTAAAACATGTCAAATGTAAAAACCTGAAATGTAATTTCATTGTGTTACTTTTCCATCTGCAGCCTGAATAAAGACCCACCGCTGTGGATTAGTGAAAATTATTTCAGGACACGACCTTAAAACTTGGAAACTTTTTTCATCTTCTAACTGAAGAGTTAGAGTTTACAACGTTGTTCCGAAAGCAAATATTTCCGGTCGTTATTGTCACAGTGATGTTTGTTCAAGTGTTTGTTTCTGGTCAGTGTGGTTTTAATTACGTATTCAGACGGACGGACTCGTGATTGGTTGTGGGTGGGGACAGAACCTCGATTCTGCGGCTCCACACCACGATCACTTCCGCACTGGCTCCAAATGACCAGCGCAAGATGGCGGCTCCCATACCCACGATGTTGCAGCTTCATTTTTGTACACCTGGAGGAAAGCGTCAACGTCGTCCATCTTTATTCAGTCTACGACACAGTGTTATAAGCGTGGGTATAAAAACCCACAGATCTGAAGCTGCTGCACCTGAGCCTCACAGATGTGAAGTTTCAGGGACCTTGACCTCCTCTCGCTCTCTGAACAGTCTGCAGATTCATCGCTCTCAGCTGCTACAACAGAGCACCAGCCTCTGAATATTTGAACTTCTCGATGACGTTTCCTTTGACAAGTGTGCGTTGGCAGTGGGAGGGTGTTTTTATCTGTTAGCTTTATTAACTCTTATCTGGCATCGAGACTGATGAAATGCCAGGAAATCAAAGAGGCTCCTCTCTGTTTGAAGTTTAATTGCACCGGTTGCCAGCTCATCTGTTCTGGCTTAAATCACGAGGAACGTTGCAGTAAAACAGAAACTCCTGCACCAAAGTATCCGTCCCCACCATCAACAACACGCAAACTAATTCATATTAGCGACAGGATGTCGTATAAAATCCACAGGACGCTGCAGAAAAGCAGAAAAAACGCCGTCTTCTTCAGCTTCAAGTTTCCAGTGACCTTATGTCCGCAGCCAATAAACTGACTCCAACAACAGATGAGTCACTTTAAGAGAATTGAAAAAGGGTTGTGGCGAGGGTTTGCTTCTTTAATTACCATTTGGGGGAAAAGGATTTTTGTTTCTTTTAAAGATTTAACCTCGACGTCAAACCTCCTCACTGTCACACTGTCCGGCAGCTGGCAGCTCGTCGTGGGAGAAAACCTCCCAGATCCTACCCCCCCCCCCTGCAACTCCGCTCATCCTGCCGCCACCGAGACAAACTCACACAAACGCTGGATACAAACCCGAAGTTCTTCCCTTTTGTAGAAATGGAGTTTTACAAGTGCAAGGTTCGGTTCAAGGCCGCTGCAACAGGTGGGAAACGTTACTCGGCCAGTTGCATCGCTTCCGTTGCTGCTCTACAGAGCTATCACTCAAGTTCCACCGTTATTCGCGACAGAGAAAGCAGCTGCGCGCTCGGAGGCAGAGCCGCATGAGGCCCGTCGTTTATCAGCCAAAAAACTTAAGTTAATTACGTCGAACTTTGATCCCAAACACGCCGACTTCCACAACACGTGTCCATCTGGATTCCGAAGTTAAATCAGCACAGTGACTATTTCACGATGAAAAATACAGCGGAGTTGTGTGTGATTTTTTTTTTTTTTTTTAAGCACATTTGATAAACACATGATTTCATGTGTTACGTAACAAGTGGGTTAAAAGTTACAACTGCGGAGCAGATCTTCAATCCCACTGTGAGCATCTGGATTTGAATGGAATCCAAAGCATCACAGTTATACAGTCAGCGACAGAAGTATTCGACAATATAGAGATATAAAAAATTAAAGTTTACACTTTGCTTCAAATCCAGTGTGGTGGTGCACAGGAGCTACATCGTTAAATTAATAATATGGTTTGCACAAACCCCCCTTTCCTCCAAAAATGATAAACAACGCTAAATAAAGCAAAATCTAAAGTGACTGTTCCCGGCCATTAGCCAGAAGTGCATGCCTTTTACACAAAGCTCAAGGCCACGTTGTTTTCCCATCCTAAAGCTCTGCCTGCCTCCCTAAAAACCAGAAGGAAACGGATGTGAAACCACTCTGCAAAAAGAAGATGCACGCTTCTATATCCAGTAAGGGAGTGTGAGCGGTGATGTCGGTGCTGCTCGCTGCCAAAGAATGTGGGGGGGGGACGCATTGAATTGTTTGTCCTGCAGCGGGAAAATCACAATTTAATACAGGAAGATGTTCTGCTTTAGATTCAGGTTAACGGCCGTTAAACAACCAGAACGACCTCCAGTGATGTTCAGATTCAACTTTATTTATCCGAGAAGTCCATAAAGTCAGAACACATCAGCGTGTGTGGATCGGTACGAGGGAACGAGCTGTTCGAATAGAAAGATGGAGAACAGAGTTAGAAGAGATGGTGACGGTCGTTTAAACGAACTGTCGTTGAGTAACCTGAAAGCAGAAGGAACTATTAGGACTTGGAAGTAGTTTGTCTTCCTCAGGGAAACATAACGCCGGCCTGAAGACATCACAGTGAACTGACTAAACAGAACATGTCAGATAGGCTGATGATTCTTTTTACTTTCTGGAACGACCACTGATCCAGAACATGTCTCTGCTGGACTCCACTGATCCAGCAAACTTATCATATTCAAACCAAATCACAGGACTTTCAATCAATGATTGACAGAAAAATGACAAATCATTAGAGCTGGCAGATATGGAGTTCTGGGGCGGATACCAGGACCGATATAAAGCAGTAAACCGACCAGAATATATGTTTTTTTAAAAGATTGTCAATTATTCCTGAGATGTTTCAAACCTGTAGGACAGATATTTTACAGTTTAAACATAAAATGTATTTTATATATAACTGTTTGTAAAAGAAAACAAATACAGTCTACACATAGAAGTTCAAAATATAGATAATTAACGTATAAATCTTTTCTGCTATAAAAGAACAAGACGAGGAAACATTAGAGAGATGTCATCAGGTGACGCCTCTTGAGAAACTCCTGCAGCTCTACACAGAATAAAGACACGACAGGAATATTTGAGAGTTTGTTGCAGGATATATAACATTCACCAAAACCTGCTGGACTCAGCAAAGACAAATCAAAAGCTGATCAGTTAAGTTATGAGAAGTGAGTTCTTCTTCAATCAGGATCAACATCATCTTTAATGTTAAAAATCAAGAGACTGGATCAAGTTCTTTGAATCGATGGCCGTGCAAACAAGCCGATCAATGTGTGCACGGGGGAAAAGTCGGTTCAGACGAGGGCAGAATAAAAGAGGAGCCGAGCTGGTCCGTGTCCCAGCAGCTGGCTGATAGCAGCCGCGTGTTTACACAGAGATAAGTGCTTTTTGAAGAGGGCTAATGTTCACATTAGACTTGTTTAAAGGTCTCATTCTGAAAAACCCAGTGCTGGAATAAAGAGAAAAGGCTATTGTCTTAATCATCTGTGCAGATGATTTAGGAAATAAAGACATGCAGGAGGAAAATTAAGGATAACTGAGTTATAATTTGTCCTGGATACGAAGGCTGACGCATAAAATACATCGATTAAATAGAAGAGCAGACATGAGGGCATTCAGGTACACGTGCCTCCAGATTCAATCACAGAAGAATAAACGTGTTTTTAGATAGAATAGATGAACAGAATGCTGCCGTCACTGTGAAGAAGTACGTGCTAATGGAGACATCGATCACACAAATATCTGAAGTATATATATCTACTTAGTTTTCTCTTCCTGTAGTTATTGGAAAATTCAATTATCTACCAACATTTTCCGTTCATATCCCCCAGGAGCCTTTTCTCAGAATGTGTTTGCAGCTAAACATCTTTTTAAAATCTGTCAAAAGGATTAAATTATATCCAGTAGAGATAAAGGACATTTACATTCCTCCTTTATTTAAATGTATGAGTTCATGCTCTCATGTGTCACCTGTTTTAACAGCCCCTGGTTCCTCCAGGCCTTCTCCACTTGTTGCTGTGTGTGTGTGTGTGTGTGTGTGTGTGTGTGTGTGTGTGTGTGTGTGTGTGTGTTTGTGTGTGTCCTGCCTGGCCACAAACAAACATGTGCAGCATCAGTAAACACGGAGTGAACATGTTTTCTTACCAGAAGAAGCAGTTTGCAGAGAAAAGTTGCACCGGAGGAGGAGGGGGGGGGGTGACGGAGTGAAGTCCAGCCGTGGTGTCATGCGCTGGTTCCCGGGTGGAGGTGTGATCAGAGCCGCTGGTCGAGCTCCGAGTGGCTTCAGCTTCCGTGAGACTGGTTCTTAAAAGACGAAGCTGAGGATCTTCAGAGGAAAACACCTCCTGCTGCTGCTGCGTTCAGGGAAATGATGTCAAGTCACTGTCAATGGGCTGCAGGGGGTCCTTCAAAGTAAAAGCCTTCCTCACCATTCTTCAACTCCTGGAAACCTGAACATCATGAGATATGAAAGTTATCAACAAACGTGCAGCTGAAAATACAGTGAAACTTTAATTTACCAATAAGCAGATCATCATTCTGAGATGAGATCAGTTTTGGTTGATGAATAAAATCACAATGTTGGTATGCATTTTTTATTTGTATGTATTTTTGTATAATTCAAGCAAAAATTAAAAAAAATATATATATATATTTTTTTTAAAGTAAGTAAATTGTTTCCCTGTATCTGAATTTTTAAAAATGGTGGCAGCTCCCTGGATAGGAAAAATTGTGGCAGCTGGGAAATAGATTTTTTCACAAATGTCGACTGGCCTCTGACATATATATTCTTTAAATAAATGTGGCCTGGAAAGTCAAGAAACTAATTTTCCAAGAACAGAAAGAATTAGTCCATTGTCTGATCAACAGGAAATTAATCAGCAACTATTTTCCTCCACTTGAAAAAATGGAATATGATGCAAGACAGTTTTATCAAGTCGAGACGTTCGGATCCTATGCCCCTGTTATTTATAGACGTATGATGTGCGAGAACTTGTTTCTTTAATCAGGAAGTTTTAAGCAAAAAAACAAAATATTTAAAATAGAGGTTTGGGAAAACTCTGTGCTTTTATTATGAAGGAGTCAGTTTCCGGTTTGGTCTGCCTACATGAACTTGAATGTGCTGAGGGAATAAACCACACCTTCCTGTGTTATCACTGTTTAGTACAAATCACCATTCAGAAGAACCGCTCAGTTCATTTTACTCTGAAATAAAGAAATTCTGGGTGAAAGACATTTATTCCTATAACTTTACATAAAAATATATTTTTGTCCATTTTATTATTTGACATAATTTAACTTGACTTCATGTTGAGTCACATTCATTTTCTGGACACTGAATTTCTTGCAGCTGTGAAATTCGAGTTCGTCCATTTCTTTGTTCGAATAAAAGGATTCAGCTCGTCCTGCAGCTGCAATGCATTCTGGTCTATGGAGGGTCATCTCTTCTGACTGTGGACAAATGTCATTTAACTTTGATTCTGGAGATTTAATCTTAATTAAGCGATTAAATTGATCATTTACACGTTACAGTAGGAGTGTGGTGTGTATATGAATGAAGTGTTTGATTGTGTGAGTAGTTATTTATGCTGCTCTCTCCCCGCACCACTGACTTTAGTCAATGTTTATGTTATTGTTCGGCGTCAGAGGCCTGGACCCCCGCTCTGCGTAACGATGGTCGCTCGGTGAGCAGCGCGGCGGAAGTCTGACCCCTGAGCTCATTAGCAAAGACTCCAGAGAGGAAATTGCGAGGAGGCTACAAAGAGCTGCAGAAAAAAACAAAACAATACCACACATACTTTATTGTTTCTGGATCAATGGTGCAGAGGCCAATGATCCAGTTAAGACTGAGACCTGCTGGTGTCCACGTCCAACTGAACTCAGGTTCTCCACCAAGAAAATTAACTAGATGTGTAAGATAACAAGTCTGAACTGTATGTTTTTATGTCATCGTTCATGTTTGTATAAAACCAAGTGTTTTATGTTTATGTATTCTGACAAGGTCCAATGAGACCAGTCCTGCATCTCCGGCACCCAACTGAGAAAACCACTCTGACAGACTTCCACGGTGCCAAACATCCCTTCCCCCTCCCCACCATCGGTTTAATGGCGAGCTGCTCTGCTAATTGGATATAAACCATTTATGTACCTGCGAGTTTCCAGATCACAAGAAAAACAAGTTCCTCCCGTCTGCAAATCAGCTGCATCGTCACTAAAGACAAAATGATGCTTTCTGCAGTGATTCAACATTGAGTCGCTGCCAGACTTGGTCCAGACTCTCCTCCACACTCAGAGGACTCACAGGGACAGACTGAGTGTGTGACTGCATTTTCACCCGAGCAATTTTCTTTGAGGAAGAAGAAGAGGTTGAAAAAAATAAAAAATAAAAAAAGAAGCTTTTCCCCTGCCGTGGCCCTGCGCCTCGCCTGGCGAGATAATCATTCGGGATTACGACGCGCTCACTTCTCACCTCTCAAAAGCCAATTTCCGTGATTACATTTTGTGGCCCTGCAGTCAATCCGTGCTCCAGAAGCTCATTTGACGTTACCACGTAATGGACCACAGTCTTTACATCCTGACCAACCCTACATAAGTGCACCGCAGGTCGCGAGGTGCAAATTGTGCCAGAAGACGTGACTGTGGCTTCTCCCGTCTCTCCGTCATTTTGGTTTATGGGGAGCTGAAGGAGCAATTTGCTTAAAATTGAGCTTTTAACCTTCAGTTGTCATGATGGCACATAACTAATAAACATTACCGACATTTGGAGTCCAGCATTTCAACCTCGGAGCCTTCCACCCATCCGGAGAAATTATTTTTTCTTTGTGCTTCTGCAGCCGAGGCGTATTATCTCTCCTCAGATCCCACCATGATGGCTCTGCATGTGCTTTAGAGCCTCTCAGGACTATTTGCACAATTAGAACCTCAAGAACAAACCTTACTCCACCTGCTTGGTTTGCCATTAGTATGAGGAAGTGAATAGATATTACAGAGGGGGTGACACATACCCTGCACATGCTGTATACACCCCAATCCGGCAATGCTAACGTTTTAAACATTATACATTTTTATTGTTCACAGGTCGTGACTCTAATCATATTTCGATGCAAATGAGGAACTTTTCACATTTCTTTGGGATAACTTCCTGAATTTACCATCATACAAAGTCTTAAGTACAGTAACAAAGTATTTGTACTCCGTTACAGACGAGCCAATGGGCTCCCAGAGTTTTCTGGCCAATGTAGACGTTACATTTTTTTCTCTCGCTCGTTTTTTGGATAATACTTTTGTTGATCTTGACCAATCAGCTTCAAACATGAATCATGAAGAGAGACACACACACAAAGATGAAATCCTATTTTTCTGGCTAAATGCTGAGAAGCTATAATTTGTGCTTCCTGTTAAAAGCCTCTTGCACATTTGTCATCACAGATCTCTGGCTTTTCTCTAGTTGCCGACCATCAGTCTCAGAGAGAGAGAGAGAAATATGGAGAACGGCCTCCCAAGAAAAACAAGAGCATCGCTCACTAAACCAAATGTTCCAAAATGAAATATGCTTATGTTCGAGGGACAACAACTTTCTAGCGGCCACAGGAATTATAAATCTTCAGCATCAGAGGAGGAGAAGGCCAGAGTCGTTAAACGGGGTAAATAAAAATGCCATTCTACGTTTTCACTCAGCAGCGACATGCTGGAGATTCAGGTGAAATTAGGAGGAATCAAGGGGAAGATGGATGAGCCACATGAATCATTTAAAAACACTTTTCTCTGAGTCAGACCTGAAAGTAAACACTTTAAAAGTAGTCGCCTGGAAATGTCCATTACTGCTGAATGAATGGGGAGCCACACACAGGTCGACTTAATGGCTTTTTCCTCTCTGCCTCTATTGTACCGTCACATCATGGGTCAAGGAAATGTTCACTGGGGCTAGTTTTGTATGTTTGTTATTTTTAAAACTGCTTTTATTGGTTTGTCCTAGACCCTAAATATCCAAATGGATCCATTCATGTCTGTGTATAAAGGAATAAATGATTCTTCAAGCTCTCATGGTCATATTACAGAAGACGTTGTTCCATAGTGCAACAGAAATGGTAATGATGGTGATCGTGATAAAACTGGCAGAAAAACATCCAAAAGTCGAAAGACATAAAATCGAGTTGAATAAATGTCATCTCACAGATACTGATGATCATTGTTCAAGGGAAACAGTTTGTATTTAAAGCGAGCAGCTTCAAATTGTGCCTTGAATGATGATTATCATGTTTTTATCCTGCTCAGGGTTTGTTCTGGAAACTACTGATGCATTTCCAAGTGTTTGCTCCAAACTGCATTAAGAACTAATTGACATGTGTGTCAGGGCGTCGGTTAGATCTGTGCACGGAGCTCTGTTGGTTATTCTCCGATCCAAGAAAGATACTTTCTGTTCAGCCACACGTTCACATCACGTCATGAGTGTAATCGTTCACATACTTGCTGCTACGCATGTACTGCACATGTTAGTGTAGTGTTCCAGTAGAGGGCGCACCACAGGACTCAGACTGTATAAAACAGAAACAGATCTTTATCGCTCTCATCAGATTCTGTCCCGTCAATAAAAACCCTGGTGTCCAAATATGTATTAAAAAAAAATCTTCTGGATTTGCATTCTAATAAAAAACATGGAGATACCTTAAATCAAAAACATCATGACAAAGGTATTTGCTGCTTCACTGTGTCTACTCTATTGTTTTCTAGATGCACGGTGTTAATTTCTGAGGCACCAGACTGACGCAGGATATGCCAGTTAGCCATGACGTGGACGATTCGAACTACTGAGATCAAACGAGCGACTTCCTGAGTTTATTCATTTTAAATCAGAACGTTTGTATGAATGTGTTTTATTTCCAGAACTCATTTCTTTTTATTCTCCTCTGGTTCATGAACTGATCATCTTTCCCTTTTTTTTTAATGTCAATTGCTGTTAATTAATTTTTCCTTTGTAACTCTGAAGATTACATATAAATGAAGTTGAATTATCATTATATCATAAAAACAGCGTTTACTGCTGACACGGGCACTTGTATGATTGACAGTGATGGGCAAACATTTTTTTGTATAAATATTTTTGAAGACAGTGTTTTATTGCGGAAACAGCTGGCTCAGAGAAAGGAGAAGTCCTCTGTGCCCTCAGAGAGAGAGAGATGGGTCCATCAGTAAGAGGAACAGAAGGTTATGTCCCCTTCAAAACTCATTACCCCAAAGAGCTGCCCTCCGTTTCCCTGCTGCCTGTGTGTGTGAATAGATAAGTGCTTACGTTATAATCTGCATGTGACACCGACGCTGCAAAATATCTGATCTGGAAGGATGGATCTGCCTCAAAGCTTCACATGACCAGAAATATAAACCCCAAACTGAACAAAATGAACCACTGGGATGCAAAAAATATATCTATATATCTAAAAATCTTCATGAACAAACGCATCAATCACAGTTTTCCACAAACAGTCGGCACCAAAACAGGGAATCAAAACTGCCTGACCTCCAGGCCGGCAGGGTCCTGTCAAGGTCAGAGGTTCACGCTGACCTCTGGAGCCGCGGCACAGGACAGGCATCACATGCTGGCAGCTTTGTAGAAGTGAGAGAGGGAAGTTGCCACAATCTCTTATTGTTGGCAACCTGGCACATGAGGCTACACTGAGGGCCTTGTGGGCAGCTTGTTGTCACACGTTGAATCGGTGTGGGAACGATCTATTGGCTGCTATTGAAATAAAGCCGGGCTGAGACACGAAGCCTGACAGTGGTTTCTAGGTGGTTCACAGTTTTTAGATGATGTTTGAGTTAAAATCCGGAGCTTTTTGGATCTTTTTTGGGGTGAAAACATCCTGAAAAACACTATTAAAACCGAAATTAGGCAAAGTTTTAAACTAAAAACAAGAGTTACAGCTTTACAGCTCAAAGACGGAGAGCAGGCGGAAGACGTGCAGCAAAGGGCGGCTGCAGGAGGACTCCAGCCTCCGTACAGGGGCGGCCTTTCAACCAGGTGAGCTATCGCCCCCATCGTATCAAGCTCATCACTTCTCAGAGCTGTTTTGATTTTAGCTCATCGCTCATTTGCCATCGTGAACAAACGACTGGTAAATGAAAGTGAAAGTGAAGTGGAAAATGATTTCAATCTGACAAGGTGAGATCAGACATCACAGGAATGATTTTACGTCTTCAGACGAGGTTTGAGTCGATGAATCCTGTTCATCTTAGAAGGAAGAAGATGACAGAGGAAGACGGTGGGAGAGTAAGAGCCTGAAGATTATCATATATTTGCAGAGAGCTCAGTGCCTCTAAACTCAACGTGCAATTAAAACCATCCAGGATTTGTTTTTAAATATATCTAACAAGAAAAAGCAATTATTCAACTCTGAACAAAGAAACCTGATTTGTTTGGGTTTTATTTTTGCTCTGAAGTTCATGAAGGGGATTGTTAGACTTTAAAGATTGTTCTGGTTCTGTCCTTCCTTTTATTTTCATTTTGTTGGTTGTTTCTAATGGTGCATGTTCAGGTTTAACACACGACACAGAGGAAACTACCTTCAACTCTCCTCCAGCAAAGCCACATGTGTCCAGTTTATTAAATCCAGTTCCAGTAAAAGGACCTCAACAATAATTTCATTAAATCTCTTTTTTTTTTATAGAAAAGAAAAATCATGTTTAACCAACGAATCCAGTTCTGATTTATTTTTTCTGATACTGGAGATGAACAAAATAACCTGATTTCATTAAAAGCCGAAAAATGGTTCAGTTGAGTTTCACTTTGCACATCACACACAATCCTGGAAAAAAATGTGGTGAAGTTATAAATTGTGTTGATATAACTTAAGTTTTTATTAATCTATTTACTTAGAGATTTTTAACCTAATGAGTTGTTTCATGTGTGAGGCACTGGAAATTCACCACGAGCATAAATAAAGTATAGAATAACAATTTACGGTTTCTCCAGTGTGTATTTCACTGAAACACAGCGAAATTAAAAGTCAAATATTATCACAATAACGTCATTATATCCCATAATATGCATCAGTGCCCTGGTGAGTGTCTCCATTATGTCCCTGTCTTATCATAAAAAAATACATCTTCTGTTTTTATTAATGTTTTGAGCTTGTGTTTGTTTCACTTCCTTTAAATATGTCTCAGTCTCATACAAACTGTAAACTGACCATGGTCAAGTAAAAGCAGGAGTATTTATTTGCCCTGGAATTGAAATGTTCTAATGTGGGACGACAGCGCAGCCTGGTGGTCGTTCTCCTCACTTACAATAAATAGATATATACACTGAGGACACACTTCCAAGCATTAAAATGTGTCTCATCACTGTACAGCCTCTGTGTTCTGTGTATTTATTGAGCTTCTGCTGTGCACATGGTTTTTATCTGCTGGTGGTGCATTTAATGAACCTTAAAAACTCAAAATGTCACAACACACTGATATAACCGAGCAGTTTTGATGTGGTTGTTTGGGTTCACTGTGTGGATCTTCAGCACACATCGCTCTACGCAACATTTACTTTAATTTTCAACTCTGAAATGTCAAAAGGTAGAAAACTGCTGTTACAACAACTTCCTGCGAGATTAAATCTGCAGTCACTTCATTTTGCAATGAGTTGACTCCTTCGGTTTCAACCTGGAAACAACATTCAGATGAAACTATGGAATATTAACGTCAGGTATCAGTTCCATCCCACAAAGGTTTTTATCATTTCAGTTTAAAATATACATTTCTGGTTTTGGTATAAATAACTGTTAATAAGAAAACACAAACAACCTAATATAAAGAAGTTGATATAAGAAAAATATAAAATACCTAAAAAGAGCTGTTTGAATATGTGACAGACGGTTTCTCACACACACACACACACAAGATGCTGATACAAAGGGAGGAGTTCAGTGAAGTGTAAAAACACTAATGGGATCTCTGACAATATAATTAACTAATGAAGCTGACGGAGACGACAGCTCTCCGTCACCAGAATCCCCCCTCCCCTTCCCGGAGGCTCCTCTCTCACATCTGCTGCTGCTTTGCCCCAACAATCCTATTTATATACAGAGTCCACATTTTTCATTTTGTGTTGTTTTCAAAGATAAATCTATTTAATCTGAGTGCATGGTCCAGCCAGGGCTAGAATTTGTCTGGTTCCCTCCTCCCATTGAAACATTATAAACAGTTTGAACTCATAGAGATATATTATCTAAGTTGACTCTTGAATTTAATTTATCTGGTTGTTTTTCTGATTGGCTCGCACTCACTCACGTTGCTGCTGGTTAACAGTTAACCTCCCTTCACGCCTGATTTCATGGTTAGAGCCAATTCCTGAAAAGCAGTTGACTGAAGAGGTGAGAAATGTGCGATGCCTGAGACGCCTCCGTGGCTGCGGCCGCTGCAGAAATATCACTGTTACATTGTGTGTGTGTGTCACTGACTGACTGCAGCCGCTGATTTATAGAGGAGACACTAAAAGGCTTCTTTTGTGTTCCAGTATAAAAGCCAGGAATGTTGGACGCTCCATTAATTAGGCAGTTTGCGGTGCGTTAGCATGGGGACACGGGTAATGATTAAGCCCCCCTAAAGTCTCTCTCTCACACACACACACACACACAAACACACAATAATGGCTTCTCTATTTTTAGTTTGTATAATTCTAAATGTAATTATAGAAACTGATGATATCTGAATGATGATTATTGTATAAGTTCTCCATTACAGGTAAAAGTCTGGACTTGATTTCACCTTAGTTCATTTTTATTGTGTTCTCGTTAGTCTGTGTGGAGTACTATATAAATCCAAGTTAATAATAAAAAAGTACATATTGAATTTCAAAGTATTCAAGGCCGCTTTACAATGTTAGAAAAAAAGTTTTTTTAAGTTCACTGTAGAGTTGGTGAAATTTGTTTTAAGCACAAAACAGCAAGAAAAACTGAAAAACCTGCACAACAAATAGAAAGACACAAGATATATCAAGCAAAATACTAATCACAGTATTCCTAGATCATGAAAGAGCAGCATGTAGTAAAACACAAGAAGCAGGTGCAGAGAGACAGAAAAGAAAAAAAAAACTTCATCATCAGCATATATACGTTTAAAATAGTGATACTTTACAAGTACTGAAGTATTGATTCATTTTTTGTTTGAGTAGTTTGAGACTTGTTTTCAACCACTGAATCATCGAGAGAAGTTTCTTCTGAACAAAGAAAGTCTCTGGATGAAAACCCAGTGTAGAGAGCAGCTGTAGGAGCCTCAAAGAAACAGTAGAGGTCAGTATAAGCATGTGTAGCTACAACGAATACTACCACAGTGCCAAGTACTTGTAGTATAAATGTAATATAAAACCACGCAGAGTCCCGTCCTAATGACCTGCCCACCAACAATCATGGAGACCCACACTCTGGACACGGTGGAGAGCAAACATACAAAACATACACACAAGAAAATACTTTCTAGTTGGAGTGGATTTGTAAATATCTTTTGAGGCTGGAGCCAACAAGCGATAGGCAGAGGGATGAACAACCATTTACTCTAATGGTAAAAGGAACTGCAAGTCTCTGGAATGTGTGAGGGGCTGGAGAAAACCCACAAAACACAGTGAGAACATCCAAACTCCTCACAGAAAGACCCTGGACCGAACCAGGAATCGAACCGGTAACCTCCATGCTGTGAGGCGTCAGCGCTAATGAGTGCAGCTATACATGTATACAAGACTTAAACTAAAATGCCACAGGCTCTGTTAAAGATTAATTTGCTCTTCTGTTTGGTTTCTATGGTCATTTTCCTTGAAACACCAGGAACTAATCCACTGTGGTGAGAGTTTTTAAACCACCAGCAATAGACAAGACGTGTCTTTTCTGCAGCTCTATGTGAGATCACATTCATTTCTTCCCTGCAAAGCACAGATACCATCATATTTGTAAAATGTCATCCCAGGCCGCAGTTTAAAAATAAAGCATCTCCCGATGACACAGAAACGTTGGCTCTTTCCTCCTCTCTGTGTTCATGTCTGTGTGCATGTGTGTGAAGTAGAAATCCTTCCCTCCCTCCTTCGGCTATAAACTTACTGACCCTCTCTGCTGCAGCAGTGGAGCTCATCTCTGCATCGACTCCCTCTGTGGAGAAAAATCAATAAGCACGGGTCAAAACAGCCACTGAAGGAAGCAGCATTGGTAAAGCTATAAAACCATCAGCACTGGATTTATTGAGGAAGCACAAACATTTCACTCGTATCTACGTTTACATGATTTTACTCTTTCATATTTTACTCTATTTCCTCTGGGATGATGAATAAAAGTTGAAAACTGACACTTCAAATTACAATATTGATTAAAAACAAGTGAAATGTTGATTTGAACATTTGAATATAATCAATTTAAACACCTTCAAACACAAAGGAAAGCTCCAACAGGCCTAATGTGGGGACATCCGCCCCTCTCCTGTCCACACGTGTGTCTCACCTCTCAGCACTCTCAGGCCTCATCGTGAATGTGCCGCCACCGAGTATCTTTGGCTCCACGCCTGCTGGTGTCCATGCCGCGCTCATGCTCCTTATCAGGTGTCAGATGTGGGTTTGGTGTCACTGAAGGCCTGTCCCTTCACACCCTGCCGTCTGAGCTGCGCTGCATGGACCCAGAGGCAAAACAAAAACACAACTCGTCACTTCTCGGTCCAGGTGAAGGGAGAGGATCTGTGAGGATGATGCTGGAGAAGGACAACGAGCAAGTGGTTACTATTCTGATGAGCAAATGATCATTTTTATCATTTTACGGACAAATGCAAAAACATTTGATGGCTCAAAATCATCTTTCTCTATTTTCTGATACAGAATAGAGAGAATGAATCGATTGATCAGGAAAATAAACTGCAGATCACATAGGAACCGCAAGATCTTATACAATTTCGATAAAACAAGAAACTGTTAAAAGTCAGACTTTTTTCCTACCAAAAGAAGTTTCAGTTCTTCTCTCTCTCAGATTGTGAGAATTGGTGTAACCAGACGTTATCATTGATCACAAATTGCATCATTAACTTCTCAAAATTACTGATTAAAGCGTTTCATTAGTGAAACGAGGCAATAAAACAATTCAGCTGAAACATTTAGATCATATTGTGAAAACAAGGACTGAAAAATGGCCAAATACATATGCATACAAATAAATGACAAGTACTGCACATGTACACATACATTCCCACATTTATGAAGTATGCGCACACAGTTTTACCCAGCTATCTGCATGAGGACTTATAATTGACCTCCATTCATTTTGTAGGGCCCAAACAAAACCTTGACCTTATCCTTAACCCGACCCACAATTCACATCGTACCTTTAACCTTCACCAGGATTGTGCCTCATTAGCACCGGGCTCTGGACCCCATGAGGCCAGATTAAAATATATTTTGACTAAAGGTCAGAATCAATTGATGCAGCTACTTGAGAACTCGTCTGACAAGAGAAACGTGACCAACTCCTACATGTGATTTATGAGACGTTACAAACACTGATGTGCACAAATATGTGATTATAGAGGCAACACAAAGTCTGAATCATCCAATGAGGTGAAGAAATCCAATAAATTAATACCAGGAAAGTTCTAGATCTACTCTAATGCTATACCGAGTTCCTCCCTTTAAAAAAGCACCCGAAAACGTTCCCGTCCTGAATCGTGTGTAGGGTTTGGAAAGTCCCGCAGCAAACCGTGGGAATGCGCGACATGAAAGCCGGCGGCTCAACACCAGGGTAAGTGAATGAACGGTTCAGATGCAACGTTGTCTCCTCCGCATTATTGGCAATTAGTGGCTGATAAGTGGGCAGGAAAGGCAGCAGACAGTGTGTGAATGGAGTCACAGGGCTCAGATACAACAGAGTGGTCTCAACACAACGAGGATGGAGAGCTGACGTCGTCACAAACCCACAGACGACAGGAAAACCAGGAGGGAGCTTTGTAATTCTTCTTCTATACGATATGAAACTAAACTTACTCTCTGATTTGTTCAACTAAAAACAGACTTTTTCACAAGGGCACTGTAAAATCACAAGAAAGGTTCACACAAGAGGCTGCGGGCTGGGATGGAACCAACTGCTGAAAACTGGAGGATAACCAGAAGAGCGTCTGTTATATTATATGACTGACGCAGCTGAACAGCAATAAACATATCCGAGACGTCGGCATTGCTGTCGCTGAGCGATGCAAGAATCAAAATGTCCTGGACATGGCACTATTAATGTCAGAGAGACGGTGGATAGTAGAAGAAGTACTTAAACCTATATTTCACCCCTCGTAGATGTTTATTTGCACACCTTTCTTGTCTTGCTTCATCTGAATGACTCACTGAATCTATGACTTCTGATGGGGAAACACTGAAGGAATTCACAGTGAATAACCATCAAATCACAATTGTGCGTCAGTCTGAGCCAGCCCGTTTTACAGCAACAGATAAGGAATTTCATGTGAATTTTTACTCTTTAGTAGTATTTTAATTAGTAGTATTTTAATGCTGGAGCATCTTGTAACTAGTTTCCTGGTATTTTGATCATCAGTCACCGTCAACAGAACATCAGAGTCCTACTCTCGTCTGTCTCTATAACCCAGAAGAAGACGATTAAAAATTCATTCTAAATTTGGAGTCAGAGTATAAAGTACCTCAAAGTTATAGTAAATAAAGCGACCACTACTTTAGTCCAGTTTTATCTCTATTCCCAAAGTCATTGTACTTCATGATACAACATCATTGACATTTCTGAATAACAGCAGGTTATCTAATGGTTTGAAAGTCGGGTTTGAGCTCAGGTTTTGTTTGAAAAGTCTAAACCCCAATAAACACGACCGGGATTCTCGATCATCGGCTGGAATGTTCTCCCTCTCTTTGATGCCTGTCCAAGGGTGACTATTTATACAGTCTGCACTTGTTGTCTGGAAAGTGGAGGCCTCTGCCGCAGCGTCGATCCCCAACTGTACACAAGCACATAAACACGGGCCGGGCTCACGACGCTGCCCTCCTTATCGACAGGAACCCAAAAGTTCCTCCAGTGGAAATGTCTTTGTTCCCCCTCGGCTGCCACACAATGAGCGCGACTCTCTGGAGTCGGCTGAAGGCACTTCGAGCGAAGGCCTTCCCTCATTCCACGCATAGCACGGCGAAGGCGCTGACCTTGGCAAGAAGCTATTAAAATTGTTCTCCAGCAAAAAAACACGTATGTGCGTTCACCTTGGCACATGAAAGCTCAGGCCTGTGTGGAGCAAAAAACATGTTTCAGGAGCGGCTTGTACCTTCAAAACAAAGGTGGGTGGAAAGACAAAGATTAATGCACGAGGACGAGAAGAGGATTTTCTATTTAAACAAGCATAGAGCGTGTATCCATCATATTGTCATCTACTGAACTGAAGAGCAGTGGTATTTTATTGGCGAGTACTGAGGTTGCTGTATATCTATCCATCTTTTACACAATATGTTGTCCACCATCATAACATAATGTTAAAATTGAAAATATTTATCTCATGTATTGTGTCTTTTGATCTATCCACCGTTTCATCCTGAGGTTCAGCAATTTACTTTTTTGTAAGCACGACTTGGGCGAAGTCAATAAATGTCAAAAACTGTGATTCATAATTATTCACAGTTTATTTTATTACACTGCGAAATAACCAGATCATCCAAATATGACAACAATCATGAATTGAAGACCTAAATCAATTTATTCATTCTTCAATCATCATCAATCTGCTTATTATTTAATATGATTGTCCACTTATCCATCACATCAACCAAATCCATCATTTATCATCTTCTCACTGACTCGTGACCAACGTCAGGACACAGTCATGACAGTTCTGACCCTCTGCAGGAACAAGTTCGAATAAACGCACAACAGATTCACCTCAGTTTCTTGAGAGTATGCACCACCCTATTTACAGTCAGCGGGACACAAATACACACACACACACAAAAACACACATGGACTTTCCCTAATGACTGGCATCACGGCAGTAGTCAGTCGCTCCTCCACAGAGGATGAAATCCTGTTACAGCTGGCTTTTCATGATGCCTTTAACTGCATTACACTCCCCTCTCAAGTCTAGATCCAATTTCCCTATCAAACAAGGTAACACACACACACACACACACACACA